AGCGTCTCAAGTAACCTCTGCTGAGGAAGCCCTACTAACTGTCTTCTCGTGGCGGAGGTGTTTTCGCACTAAAGTGAGAGAACGAAAAGCCGATTTCCGGGGCTATAACCGGGTTGATGGAACAGTGGCAGTTGACCTACGAGAGTTTGACCAAAAACCAAACCAAACCAACCGAGAGTAGGCGTACGAACTACACCCACACCTTTCCGGTTGTGGCACTGGTCATCGGCTCAATTGGACATCGAGGTCCTTTGGACACCTTGGACGTTTGACTCCGTCCGAGGGGCGTATGATCCGATGAACTGGACAGCGGCTCCCAATGGATTGCAGGTCAGGCTTTGGCTGGTTGAAGACTTAGGCTGTTGATTCCTCAAGAAAATTCATCTCCCTTGGCCTGGGCGACCTGGCAGTATTCCGCCCACATGGAAATCATGGAACGTTTTTCTTTTTTACTAAGATTATGGTACCATGATCTGTTTGGCACATTCTAGCCTCAGACAGGAAGAGATCATTTTGTCTTGGCTGAACAGATAACTGTTCATACTGTGAGCTGTTGTTTGGAGTAGAAAAACTATCTGATACTTTTGCAGAATGAGTAGCCGGTCGTAGTACACCTTCACTCGATTGAATAACTTCATCATTTTCGTTATGCAGTCTGCATTCTGATGGTGAATTCCCACACGGTAAGGAGCAGATTAAACAGAAAGACTAATGAAATCAGACGTGGTATCTGCTGTTCCCAATCCAGCAGTGATTTTTGTCCGATGTTGCTTACGGTCATTTCTCGTATACAGAATGACTCCATTACTGAAGGTGACGAAAATGAAGGAATTTGCCGGGTGAGTTCCTCTTGATTTGGACTACAGTGTACTCGGATATGCGGTTATCCCTTGATCCGGAATTTGTCAGAACAGCTCCTGTAATCGAAATTTTCAAGATTGTCAACCACGTGTCAATCCTCTCCCCAATGTCAGATAAGAAACAATGATTTTTGACACGATCCTTCGTGTTTCTGTTACATACAGAGGTGTAAATACGATCTTGTCTAGGGTTCATATTTCCTTAACGTTATTTAAATGAACGTTAAAGTGCGCACACAGAACGCAGTGAGAACCGATTATGTTTAAGGTTTCCGCCTCAGAATAAGGCATACAATCCTCCAGCGAGCAAGGTTCAGTATGCAATCAATGTGGAGTTTCGCATGACCATTTTGGGGCTGGCACATTCGTCGGTTTCAGAGAGTTGAAATCTTGTATCCCCAACCAGCGGACGGTTAGGATCAGTAAACGAGGCTTGATGCTTCCCGAGAGTGAATCTTCCCAAAACACGAGGTGCAATCATTAAATGGTCTAGTGGGTGCAATCCTCGATGAGGCGTCCAAGGCAACCAACTGCTGTTGGGATTCGGTTAAACGCCATCTTCATCTGTAATGTAGAGGTGCTAACGGTAGTATCATCTTCATCATCATCGTACAACAACAACGAGATGGAGTAAATTAGTATTCAGTGATGTTAACGATAGACTTGTGATATTTGTTGCCTATAGAAGAGCTACGATTACAAAGTGACACCTCAACCGGTGAACAATGTGGCTGGATTCTAGGATTTTAAATTTGGCCTTCAGATTGGGACAGTAATGGATAATCGTAACGCCGAGGACGGAGTCTCGCGATTAGCGAAGTTTTCTTAAGGAACTTAAAAGGCAGAAATGGTTTGGCGGAAAGGACTTACCAATGGGAAAAGGGACTTCGTTCGTGAAAGTACGCATCAAATCAGCAACGCGAATCTTTCGACGACCCTTGCGTAGAGCGGGTGGTACGTCTGCATCTTCCCGTGATTGTGGTGATCGAGGTAAAATATAACTGAAAAAAATATATACACAAACGACCCGATAGCGACACCGTTTTAGCCGCATAAGGATGAATGCAGGCGAAATGTGCATATGAGAACAGCTAACTAATAAAGGGATCAAACGATCAACCAGTAAGTCAGAAACCGGTAGAATTTCCATATTAACCAATCAAGAGCCAACATAGCTCAACACTATTATTCATACAAGCTGAATGAAAAGCTTCGTTCTTCTTGACTACGTTTTTATAGCGTCCCTTTTGTGTGCGGGCCGTCAAACGAAGACGTGGCATGAGGGTGTGAAAACCTGAACCTGGGTCACATAGTTCCCTTAGGCTCTCTCGTTGGGGACCCCGAGATGATGGTCACCGATAGTTAGAGATACAGCGATATAGCTAGGTACCGCAAACAGTGGCGTTTGTGCATCCACTTATTATTCTCTTAACGCCGATCTATATGAATTCTTTATCTCCCGCTTGAGTTTACTTTCAACATTTCAATCATTCCAAAGTCAGGTGGTGATGGGATTCGAACACATCCCTGGGGAGATAATTTGGTAACTTTACCACAGTGCCACCACCGCCCGGTTGTAAAAACTGAAAGTGAACTTGTGTGCTAAACAGTAGACGACAAAAACACCGTAGTCACGAAGACCTGCTGTTCAGTCACGGAAATCGGCAACCTAAGCCCGAGGACGTGGAGTGGAGAACCACATAACACTCTTAGGTAGGCATGGTATATTTAGCGTTACTATAGTAGCATCCCAAACAAGGCATAAAATGTAATGGGGCATAAAACTGTACCGCTTTACTCAGATTTCTGAGCATCACTATTTTGCGTTAGCCTGACACAACCCGTCCCAAAGTTGGGGATGAAGCACCATACTCTTGTTATCGGCCGTTTTGTAGAGCATCAAATATCCCGAGCAACTGACCAAAAGAATGCACTACACTACTGGGAAACATGTTTGGAACTCACTGTTGACGGACTTGATGTCGCAAAACCTCGTCACCGTAATGAAAAACCACGCGACAGGACTTCACACTGGATGGCAGAGTGATGATAATTTGCTAAAAATGCAAGAAAAACTCGATCATACGAATCGGTTGAAATCAGTTATGAGGTGTCCAGAAAAAAATCCTATGTAGCAGTGATCACAATAAATCAGTCCATTGCGATCGGTTTAAAGCACGAAGATAATTTCTACGTTAACGACTGACGTGGCAGGGNGGAAAGGTAGTCATTAGTAATAGTATAAATGGAAGGTTGCCTTGAATCTTCGGACCTGTTGATCTATTGCCGATCAAAGATTCGTTCCACAGACTACTCGTTGTGTGCTAAGGAACCCCGACTCTAGAAAATAAATTATCAACAAACAAAATCGAGATATCCGAACCAAACTAGTGTTTTGTTTGCCAAAACAACATAAAATGCTCCGCCTGAATGATCAAACGAAATAGCTCTGTCGGAGTGGTCTGAAAGTGCCCCCTTCATTGAGAAAGATTTCTGCTAGTTTGTGCGATGAAAGTGAACATCCAACAACTTAATATAACGCGAATATAAAGTTGATGGGTGAAAAACTTAAATAATCCAGGTGAGGTGATTTGTGAATAGTTTGTAGCGCAGACGAGAATATTATATATATATATATATATATATATATATATATATATATATATATATATATATATATATATAT